TTTTTTTAAAAATACGAGCATTCATGTTACAATCAGACATGCGAACGAACCAGATCTTAACGAAATTTTATTATTATGATATTAGTTGAGTAGTGTTGAAATAGCATAGAAACATAGAACATCGTGTATTCTATCACTACATAGAAAAAGAAAATTTCTTTAAGCTCTTTATACGGAGATTAGATAATAGCGACGCTACATTTGGATTGCCCTTAGTAATTGCGTCGATGTAATGAATTTATATCAAGCGGATATCATCATCTTTGTCTTACGCATCCTTAATTTCCTATTCGTTCTATTATTTAAAACAATAAAAAAATAATTAGAGAAAGGAAAAAAAATATAAAAACAAAACAAACAAGAAACAATCATTTATTAGTGCAAGATTAAGAAAAAAAATTAGAGACACTGAAATAGAAAATATTGAATATAAACTACTGATTATGAAGTGTTATTCATACTTATGAACGTTTAATAGTGAAAAAAAGTTTACTAACGATATAGTAGCTTCGTTACATTCATTTTCTTTATTATTCATACTAAATAAAAATATTCTTCGTTTTTTTTCGAAAGAAAAAAATTATTTAATTATTACTTTTTAATTTTGATCACTGGCATTTTAAGTTATATCAAGTACAATTTTAAATATATTGAAGTCTGCTGTCAATCTAAGTTCGACAATTTTACATAATTTTCCAACTCTTTTTGTGTAGGATGTTTGTGTAGGTGTGGGTCTGGGTGTTTTTCTTCTAATTGAAATCCACATCCTACACCCACATCTATACACCATTCAAAGCCACAGCCACAATCATCCACACCCACACCCTGATTCGGAAGATTGACCCGACTGCGATCTTCGGACTTGTGTAGCAATCTTGTTGCTTCGGTTAGAAAGTGCGATGAAGAATTGATAGAGATAACGTTGGCCATATCTTATCTTTAATGAAAAGAATCGAGCTAGTGTGTGAGGTAACCGTTTTCTAAGCAAAAGAAATTCTTCTCGAAGAGGATCTTGTTTCGTGTATTGAAAATGTCCAAGTTAAACGAATTAGTGACTTCGGAACATCTCAAACAATTCGATCAACACGGGTACAGATTGCAATAGTTCCTTTCATTTGAAAAAAACTTTCTTCTTGTAGCTATTTCATTCTTTCATCAGTCATTCCTGTTGAACATCTAACAATCATGAACAATGCCATTGATCGAGCAATCAAGAAACGAGATGAAAAGATGCATCAGATGATCAATAGTAACAATACAACACCAGAAGATGATGGATTAATATTGTGTTCAACCGATGGAAAGTATTTCTTCTTTATGCACGAAGACTCCGAACCTGAAATGAAGAAAATTATCTTTAGTAAATATATGGAACAAATTGTTCGAGGTATCCGATCATTTCTTCTGAACAGAATAGACTTCACTTCTTATTTTATTTCAGCTGTATTAGGTGAGAATGTCTATTATACTCATTCGGAAATCGTTGTCAAACGTGGGCAAGGAAAGAACGATTCTTCGAAAAGAACTGCTTTCGCTTGGCATCAAGATAGTGGTTATGTTCCGTATGAACATACTCCTTATCTTAGTTGTTGGTGTGCATTGACGGAGATGACATCGAACAATGGAACCATCTCGGTTCTACCAGCGGAAAGAAATCCTTCCGCTGATGAAAATCACAAAATTCGTTGGTTTGGAAAAGCACGCCCTTCATCTGAAACGAAATTTCCTTCTTATGCACATCGTCCAGATGATTCCAGTCCAGATCTACTTGGATATTTTGGAAATGATCCCGGTGTTGAAGTTGTTTGTCCAGCTGGAAGCATTGTTGTCTTTTCCAGTCTGACACTCCATTGTTCCTCACCCAATCGAAGTGATTCTCTTCGTTCAGCATACAATGTTCAATATGCACCTGTGCCATTGATGAGTGAAGATCAAAAATCTTTTCGACATAAAGCAGATCCATTTATTATTCAATCGAAAACTGACGAAGAACTGAAGAAATGGCAATTGTAACTTCCATTATCAACAAACGATCTTTCCAGATTTATTCTTCATTTCAATGCAAAGAAAGATTTTTTTCAGAAATAAAAAGATCAAGTTTTCCGTTCTAATTATTGGTGAAATGCTCATGATGAAGATGCAGAGGATCGTGGACCATTTCTGATGATGAATAAATTGTAGATGCTCACACAGAAACTAATGACGATAACAAATAGTGCAAAGTTTGTGAGGATTTGTGAGGATTAAAATAGTATTATAATGGCATTGATCGTTGTCTCGGGATTTGCACTTTTTCGTATATGTCCAAAAGATGAGATACATAGGCGATGAACAAAAGAATTTGAAAAAAGAATTGAAAAAAGACTAAAATGAAAAGATTGGTTAAAACATAGATTTGTTTCCTACAGAAGATCAGAGTGAGAATCGCAACGAACATCGTGTCAAGTCCATTGGTTAGTCCACTGAAGAGACTAATGGAAAGAGAAGAAGATAGATCAGTAATGAATTGTTCATCTGATTACCTAATGAGATCATGGCGAAGTATGGCAATATCTATGCCAGGTACTAGTACAATTCGTCGCACGACACTTCATCGTGTTCTTTTCGTCGCGATCACTTGGGTGGGTGTGCGTGTGCGGAAACAGCTACACTCACACCTTCTACACACGTACACCCACACACACCCACACCCACATACCTACAACCCATCCACATCCACACACACATACCAACAACCTATCCACAACCAACCCACACCCACACCTACCCACACCCGTACCCGCACTCACACCCACACCCCTACTAGTTTGGCTTAATGATTCGAATTATCCCAAGCCGAAGTTATTCGGATCAGCTCGATGCCTCCTTCACCATTTTTTATTAATACTTTTTTCAGAACATAATTTCTCGGAACTTCTTTCGTCAGTGGATAGAGGACACTTTGAACTAGTTATGATCCAAAAATCATCGCTTGATGATGAAAGATGTCTGAGATCGAAAGAAAACAAAATGAATGTTTTTATTTGTGATCTGAATTATCCCAAAAGACTCTACATCTCTTGTCGTTTCAAAGGTGAGATGAAATGCCAAATATTGGAGTGAGTTTTATTAATGTAGAATTTACTAAAAACAAATAACGTAAGAAAATGAATAGCTTTTGTGTACGCGTCACCGTTTTTTAGTGCAGATTAGAAATTTTTCGACGTTTTGTGCTTCTGACATTTTTGTCTTGGACTTTTTCACTCCTGATGTTTTGTCTTTTCGATGCTTAGTTTTGGACGTTTTTTTTCCCAATCTTTTTTCTCTTTGATGTTTTGCCATATCGATTTCTTTGTTTATCGACATTTTCATTTTCGATGTTTTGCCATGTAATCAAATTACGCGTGCAAGATACGAAGAAAGGAAGCCGAAATGCAATCACTTTCATTGATATTTAAGCTTTTGATAATAAAACGCATGTACACAAAGAAACCAACACAATGCATTAGTCATAAAGTTCAGACGGAAATGACAATAATGCTTGCATTTTGAAGCACTATCACTAATGATTAGATAACACAATAAAAATCGAAGTGTATCAGTTCCGACTCGCTTTCTTTATATATATATATCCAGCTATTCAGATGAAATGATAAATTGGAACACAATCAAAACACATTATTTACATTTTGGATTAATCGACTAAAGATGTGCCAATTATTGTGGAAAGTATTAATACTATTAGCAGCAACTGCAGTATTAGTGAATGGAGGATCTCTTGAGCCACGTTCGCGACAGCGACGATTGATCATTGGTTTTGCACAATTTATTTATCGTTATACGGACCGAAGTCCATGGGATTATAATAACTACGGATGTTGGTATGAAAATGAAATCACTTTCTTTTTCATATTCTGTTATCTCTTAATTTTAGGTGCGGAAGTGGCAGCAAAGGAAAAACTGTTATGGATGGTATCGATGCGTGTTGTAAAGCTCATGATCAATGTTATCAGAGCTGGGGTTCCTGGGCATCATATTACCTGATCAATGATTTTACTTATGAATGTATGAATGACCGCTCATCTGTAAAATACAAGGCTTGTATGTGTGACAAGGTAGCAGCTCAATGTTTTGCTCGCCATAGATATAATCCAAACATGAAAGGAACATGCAACTAAAAAAGTGGCTCATCCAGAATAGTGCACGTCGTTTTCATTTTGTTTCACTTAATTTCGTCCCCTTATCTCAAATTAAAAATAAAAACTACGATCGATACATTCTCATTTACATATTGACTTTGACTTTCAGTGGACTCTTCGCTCTTGTTCATCATTATTGCCGCTAAAATGGATGTGTAGTGACTAAAAAATTATTCTCTAGACTGGCATATGTGTCCATTGTCTGTTTGTGACATGATGATGTTTGAGAGTGAGTGAAGCACATCAAGACCACTTTCGAACTTGCTTAAGGATCTCATCAGTTGGCTTTGTATAGAATGAATCATTCAAAGTAGAATCAAGTCAATAGAATACAGAGGGTGAGGGTGAGAATATGAAGTGAGAACAACTACTATAATCTAGATTTACCTTCAACTATGACGCTCTCCGGATGGCAAATAATCTATACGATTAAAAATCACAAGATCAAATTATTACTATTATATACCTTTAATAAAAGAATATATAATGATAATATCGGTATACTGTGATCAGAACAGCTACCACTATCTACATTCCCAAGTGAGCAAAAGAGGGATTAAATGACTAGTCTTTTTTCTAGTCATATCAATTCGTCCTGTCTAGTCTTTGTCTCAAAATCGACTCGTCCGATTAGTCATTCGACTAGTCCGAGTTTCTGACCGTTATATGTACGGGTCCTGATACTCTGATTAAGGGTGTGGGTGGATGTGAGTGTGAGTGTGAGATGTAGGTTCTCTCTTAATTTACAGCCACACCCACACCCACCACCCACAGATCCAAACAGTGGTGGAAAACAATCACCATTATATAACTATACGAATATAAAAAAATTAAAATCTATGAAATAA